ACAGCAACATGCATGATGATGGATGTACCCGACTGCACGTCAGCACTAATTGAGCTCATCTTGAGGGACGGTAGCATTACGTTCTTCTGCATGGAATGACTACAACACAGCATTGGCCTGCGCACTTCCATCATCGCCTTCATCAGGTCCTGCATAGAGCAGGAATCCACAACTCAAAGAACCCTTGCCGCAGCCGTCCTCGTACTTCTCTTTAAAGCCTCGCTCCACCTCTTCCATCATTGGCAGTTTCTCGTTCACCACCGCCTGAACAGATGATGAGATGATGTCAATACTTGTGACGGCGAGAGTTGCAATGCTCAGCCTCCCAGGTCAGGATCAAAACCGTCCAGGCCATGTCCTGCAGGACACAAGCCCTTCCCGACATCCAGAGGGCACTCTGCTAGTGCAGCTTCAAGCTTCACGACCCCTCTGGGGAGGGGGGGGGGCGCACCATCAAGGTGCTCAGCGTGAAGTTCCGGCTCTGCCCAAGCTGCACGAACTTCTGGGTGAACCTGGTCATGGGTGACATGGTTGCGCAAGTGAGCAACCACCCTTGATGCTTGAAGCGAGAAAGGCTGTGTCTTCGATTTTCTCCACCGGGCCATGGCAAGCTGCCCGGCACATCAACATGAAGACTGACTGAGCGGGATTCGAGCATCCGGCAAGGCAACCAAGTCGTTCAGCTTTGCGTCTTGGTTCATGAAATCCTGTAGGTGCACCCGAGGTGGGGTTTCAGGGACGACGTCGTGCTGCTGCACCGCTTCGGTCCTTCATGGCACGCTTCCATCCTGCAATCCTCAGGCACCAGGATGGGCTGTACAAAAAAAATGAATCTCTTGAAGTGGGCTGCCAATGCATGGCTTTTTACAATGTTTCATGCACCGAGGCCTAAGAAGTACCGGGACAGGTTTGACTTGTGGTGGCTTCAACATGTCTTACGATCCATCTGAAACAAAACACAACAGCCACAACATATACATGGGTCTTGCGACCAAGATGTGAAGTAGTGCCTTATAGCTTGGATCCCTCACTCCAACTACTATCACCACTACTACTACTACTACTACTACTACTACCACCACCACCACCACCACCACCACCACGACTACTACTCCTACTTCTACTACTACTACTACTACTACTACTACTTCTTATTCTACTTATTCTACTTATTCTACTTATTCTACTTATTCTACTTATTCTACTACTACTACTACTACTACTACTACTCCTGCTGCTGCTGGTGCTGCTGCTACTACTACTACTACTACTACTACTACTACTACTCCTACTTCTACTTTTACTTCTACTTCTACTACCACTACCACTACCACTACCACTACCACTACCACTACTACTACTACTACTACTACTCCTCCTCCTCCTCCTACTTCTACT